ACTCTCCCTAAAATGTGCTATTCTTGTTTCCATAGCAGCAGACTCCCTCAGACTTTGTTGCGCGGCAAGTTCTTACTGTAGATGAACTATATATTCCATGATTGTTTTGTATTCTGGTTTTCCTCTGTGTGTATTTTTATTTTTTGTAGTGCTTATTCCTCTTGTTTTTAGTCGAGTCAATGTATACATTACACTTGACTTCAGAATTTTTGATATTACATCACGAGTGTAACCTTTTTTGGATAAATTTTTAATCATTGCATGCAGCTCATTTGATTATTTCTTTCTTTTTTATTTTCTGTCTCGTGCAAGAACAAATTCAATATAAATGTATGTGTTAAATTGTTAGTATGTTCATAAGATTACAATTACGATTCAGATATCATACAAATATAATATAAATATAATTAATCAGCTATGTAATATTATACTAACTATGTAAAACTTATACTTATTAGTTAAAATTGTATTTTAATTAAATATTATTATAAATGAAGAAATTTATCTAATACTTGTATTACTTAAATCAAGCATGGATTCCAAAACCTTGCTACCACATTAAATATAGAAATTAAATCTTCTGGAAAATCCTGAGCAGTTGGCAGGTATGCCTTTTTTACAATTTCAGAAGTTTATGTTATTTTTAATTCAGAGTAAGCAGCTTTGTTAAAAATTCTCTAAAGTATTCAAAATTTTAAAATTAAAATGTGTCAAATTTCCTTGAAACAGTTATAAAATTAATTTCTAATTAAAAATGAATAAAAAAATACCTCATGATTTGCCTTTTTGTATTATCTTTTTAGGAGTTATTCAATCTTTTGTTCTAATTTTTATCCAAATTCTTACACAGTTATACTGAATAGAAGTAAAAGATTTTAAGCAAATCATGATTTTTTTTGTTAATTTATTTTACTCAAAAATTCTCATTTTTTGAAGGAGTTAGTAAATATTTGAATAATTTAATTGCTATTTTAATGTACATGTCATTGGAGTTAAAATGTTTTGTTATTGCTGATGGTAGTTTTCTTTTTTTTTTTTTAATTTCATTATTTGGTAAATTTTTAAGTCTTACAATTATATGCAACCTAAATTGTAAAATTGGTAACTGATTTATAAAAAATTTAACTTTAATTACCGTATCATTTTCACAATGAAAACATATTAACTTAATTATAAAAAGTAAGAAAATAATTTGGAGGAATCATCATCTTTAGAAATTCAACTTATTAACTTAATCTCATGTTTGTTTTAAATATGAGTAAACCCAATTCTTGTAAGAATTGGAAATAAGTCTCTTTTTTTAAATAATAATAGATTTAAAAAAAACAGAGAGAATTTTAATAACTGCATAGTTTTATTGCAAATTTTAATGCAGTTAAACTCAAACTGATTTTTTTTCCTTCTGTTTCTATACACATATATGTAGAAAAGAAATTTATCTCTTCTGTATATAGAAATGATTACACAGATGGGAAAAAGTTTTGTTTCAAATTTTAAACTATCTCTAAAAGTGAGAAATTTTTTTTTTTCAAAGTTGCTGTGTTCTTAACACGAAAGTCTCATTAAAGTGACAAAGGGATGCAATAAAAATTCACTGTTGTATATTTTAGCCTTTATTGTTGAAATAGTTGAATATAATTTAGTTATATATATATATGTATTTTAGGTGTGTGTTGTGCTTTTTAATTCAGTTAACCCTGTAGTAAAAGAAATAAAGATTTTGCCCCTAATTTAATGATTGTTCCTTCTGTTTTATTTTAATGATTGTTACTTCTATTTTAATGATTGTTACTTCTATTTTAATGATTGTTACTTCTATTTTATTTTATTTTAATGATTGTTACTTCTATTTTATTTTATTTTAATGATTGCTACTTCTATTTTCAGGGGACATTCCAGTCAGTCAAAGGATGGATCAGAGAGTTGCAACTGCATGGATCCTCAAATGTAATTATGGCCATTGCTGGCAACAAAGCAGATTTAGAAGGAAGGAGAGAGGTTACTTACAAAGGTACCCAAACATCTGTTTTCTTTTTTTATGTCCCTTGCTGTTCAATGATAGCATTTGCTTTATAGTTTACTAATTAGGTTTTGAACTTAACATCCATTTATTTTATTAAAATGTACTGAAAAGAGTTTTATTCAATGATCAGAGATGATTGTGCTTTGGAAAAAATCCTGACCCATGCAGCAGAGATAAGTATTAATTACGTGAAAATAACGTTAAAATGCCACAAGGTTTAGAGCAAAAAAACGTTTATTTAAAACGTTTTATTTCCGTTTCGAGTGGTAGTCTCGAATTAGGTAAAAAAGCGTTTATATTTGGGCTGTTTTTAACGTAAAAATGACGGATTTTTGCCGTTATTTTGACTAAGGTGAATTTCGTAACCAATTTTTAACGTATTTTTTACGTTTTTTTCACCAAACTATTTACGTATATTTTTGGTTCTATAAATTCGTTATTTTCACCAAGAATATTTACGTGTTTTTAACGCTTATTTTTATTAAAATAACGTACATTTTACGTTATTTTAACCAAAATACAAACGTATTTTATCCATACTATTTACGTATTATTAACGCTTATTTTGAGCTTTATTTACGCATTATTAACGCTTATATATCAATATTTTTAACGCTTATTTTGAGCTAGGTGAATTGATAAATTTTTCGCGAAAATTTAACTAAATTAATTTCAATTTATCGTAATTTTAACCGAATTGTTAACAATAGCATATTTTAAGTTTTTTTTTTTTNAAGTCCTGTCAAAATTTGGATCATTTTCAACAAATTGGTCCATAATTTCAGTTATAGTGGTCAAACTCCTTTTCACAAACGCCATCGAAAGTTCTTTTTGCTCTTCTTCGAAATCACTGCTATCAATATTTTTGTTCTCTTCTTGCTCAGTTAACTCCTTGAGCTCATCATTAGAAAGACTAGCTGCTGTTTCTTGAACTATTTCTTCTCAACTTCCACATTTACCTCATCTAAATTGGTTTGTTTTGCTAATTCCACTATTTCTTCCACTATTTCATCCATATCGACAGAGTGTCCAATGTCTTCGCTCTTACTTAAATCTGGCCAAATGTTCTTCCATACTCCTTTCAAAGATCTTTCTGTTATCTCATTCCAAGAAAGGTTTGTGTTTTCTACAGCATTCATGATATTGTAGTTTTTCCAAAATTCTCTTATTGATTGCTTCTCTTCCCCGTCTATTTTGTCAAGCATCTGTTTTAATGTTAGCCGCAAGTAATAAGCCTTAAAATTGGATATAATTCCTTGGTTCATTGGTTGGATTAAAGCAGTTGTATTAGGGTGCAAAAAAAAAAACCACTTCGACTGGAATGCATGTTGTTAAATCTGATAAATTTGTTAGTTGGCTTGGAGCATTATCAATTAATAGTGGTGCTCTTTGTTCAAGTTTTTTTAATTTTGCAATAACGTTTAACAGACGGGCAGGCATGTTCAAGGAACCAATCCTGGAAAATTTTCATACTTATCCATGATTTTTTATTAGACTCCCAAATTACAGGTAAAGTTGATTTAGATATGCCTTTCATTGCTTGGATTTTTGGAGTGTTAAACTAGTACAGTGGTTTTAATTTGAAATCTCTGCTTGCGTTACCACCCAGTAGAAGTGTTAAGCCATCTTTTATGGCTTTAAATCCTGGTGCTAAATTCTCTTCATAGGATAGAAATGTTCGTTTTGGTATTCTTTTCCAAAACAGGCTTGTTTCATCAACATTTTTAAAAACCAATTCTGGAGGATAGTTTCCTTGTTCAATTATTGTTTTTAATATCACTGGGAATTCAGCCGCCGCTTTCGTATCGCCACTTGCTGCTTCTCCTGTAATCTTTATGTTGTGAAGATTATTCCGATGTTTAAATCTATTAAACCATCCTCGACTAACAACGAAAGTTTCACTTATGTCACTTGCCTAAACCTGAATGTAATTAAAAATTCTTCTAGCTTTTTCCATTATGATAGATTGACTTAATGGCATATTGCGTTCAATTTCTTGGTCAATCCATATAGACAATCATTTTTCCATTTCCTCTATAATGTTATTTCTAGAACGGGTAATTCTAGTTGCAAAGCTTGACGTAGTTACAGTTGCCGATGACAGAATTTTTTCTTTATTCTTAAGAATTGTCCTTATTGTTGAAGTTGCCAAATTCAATGCAGCATTAATTTGAGATTGACGTTCACCAGAATCTGATCTTCTAATCACTTGCATTTTAGTTTCCAGTGAAATGCTTTTTCTGGTTGCTTTCTTTTCTTGTTTTTCATTATCCCCCATGATTAAAACTAAAGATCATAATATTTGTCCCTGTATTAATCATTATAGTATTATATAAATTTATTTGTACTTACAATAATGTCAACAAATGTTTCAAATGATAAAAATTTGTCCTTACAGCACCGCACCAAACATGACACACAACTACACTGTTTCGGATATGTTATGTACATATTTGGGGGAGTCAACGCTCACAATTTCAGAGAATCCCCGGGTTGAAGTAAAAGAGCGCTAAACCAAAACAGCGTTAAGCGGGGTTTTACTGTATATGTAGAAAAGAAATTTATCTTTTCTGTATATAGGAATGATTACACAGATGGGAAAAAAAGTATTGTTTCAAATTATCTCTGAAAGTAAGTCTTTAGAAGAAAAAAAATTATTTCAAAATTGTTGTATTCTTTACGCAAGAGTCTCATTAAAATGACAAAGGGATGCAATGAAAATTCACTGTTGTATATTTTAGACTTTATTGTTGAAATAGTTTAATATAATTTATTTATTTATATATGTATTGTCGGTGTGTGTTGTGCTTTTTAATTTAGTTAACCCTAATAAAAGAAATAAAGATTTTGCCCTCAATTTAATGATTGTTACTTCTGTTTTATTTTATTTTAATGATTGTTACTTCTATTTTATTTTATTTTAATGATTGTTACTTCTATTTTATTATATTTTAATGATTGTTACTTTTATTTTCAGGGGACATTCCAGTCAGTCAAAGGATGGATCAGAGAGTTACAACTGCATGGATCCTCAAATGTAATTATGGCTATAGCCGGCAACAAAGCAGATTTAGAAGGAAGGAGAGAAGTTACTTACAAAGGTACCCAAACTTCTGTTTTGATATCCCTTGCTGTTCAATGATAGCATTTGCTTTATGGTTTACTAATTAGGTTTTGAACTTAACATCCATTTATTTTATTAAATTGTACTGAAATGAGTTTTATTCAATGTTTCGTGATGATTGTGCTGAGGAAAAAATCCTGATTTCCGGATTTTTTGCTAATTGCGATCCAGAAGTTTCCAGAAATCCAAAGTCCAAAAGTTTCAAGAAATCATTGATTACATTTATGTATATTATGTAAAATTTTTGTATAATTAATTTAGAAATATTAGAACTAGAATTTATACTTGGCATACTTTTCATTTGTAAATATTTTTTATGGTAGAATAATAAATGTGATTAGAGATGAAAGTAAACTTATTAACATGTAAACTTATTATTAGTAAATTATTAATTTAAATTATGCTGCATATAATTTATTTAGAATTTCATATTTTGAAAATATCAATGACTTAAATTTATAAAGACATTAATTTTTTGAAATGCATCATTAATGATTTCACTCAAAAAATTTTCAGGATTTTTGAGTTGTGCTTACAATTACCCCTGAATGTTAAATAAATTTTTAATTTATTATTACCATTCGTATTATTAAATTATATCAAGTTTTTACGAACTGTATGTGTAACGGCTTAATAATCTTATATCTACTAGTAATATCTACTAACAAACCATATTTTATTTAATGCATCTATATGAACAAAATGGCATATCCTGATTATGGTCTATCATCATGTAACATCAATCATATGTGCATATGCATAATCACTGCCAATTTTAGATCAAGTCATTATTGACAACTGTTATTGAAAATCATTTATAGTTGATACTGAAAATTCCTCAAATGCAAATTGTGTTCCAAAAATAAATCCCCCATGTATATAATTTTTCCAACTTCCCATTAATTTTCTTGCATCATGATAGCATTTTTTCTATATTATCTCATGCAATGTATTTGTTTATTCAGATATGTTTTCAGGGTATGTAATTGGCCACGCTTCTTCTGTTGGGTCGCTGTTTTGGGTGGTCAGCTCTCATGGATCTTAAATGCCGTTAGTCAATATTCTATAATAGTTACACAATGTCTGAAATTATCTGTTTCTTTAAATAATTGTAAAATAATGAATAAACAGTAAATTAGGGATCCTGAAGTGATGAGACCAAGCGTTGGGCTTTGCTCTGGTGATGTTGCAGATGCTAGATAATCGTTTTTTCAATTTTGGTAATAATCACTTGGTGCTAAATATGAGTTACATGGGATGAGGAAGATTTGAGACATCAGATTTGAAATTTTGATGCAATGTTTGACTTATACCTGCACTATGAATTGCCGCACAAGAGGTTGATAATCTCGCTCATCAAGCCAGGATGTTACTTTGCTCAAGATTTCTTTTCTAGAGGTCTTCCTATTTAATTGCTGTGATCAATTTTCGAACAGACCCAACTGCTGTCAGACAGCTTAAGCCATCTCTCGCAACTCCAGGGAAATATATTTGTTTACAATAATTATTCTTTTAAATATCACTGTTTTTAATCTTTTCCTTTTGGGCCAATTTTTATGATATATGAATTTTTGAAATTTTCATTCAGGTGATCGCATTTTTTTAAATAATAATTGCTTAAAATCTTTTTAAAAATTTCTACTGTACTATTCTTTCTAGCACTTGTTTACATATTAAATTTCTTTTTGTCATGATTATGCAGTGGCTTCATAATAAAATCTTGGAAGTAATAAGTAGTAAATCTTGGAAGGGATAAAAATTCATCACACTTTTGAAAAATCTAGGAAGTTATTTATGCATTTTAGGTTTTATCAGTCATCACCTAAAATGTTTGGAAAATAATGTTTTTAAGTTTTAATCTCTTAAAATATTTAATTCAAACTTGTATTTAATTCTTTATATTGTATCATTTTGTTGCAGAAGCCAAAGAATATGCAAGGTCTGTTAATGCTGCCTTTGTAGAAACCAGTGCTTTAACTGCTGTGAACATTCACGAACTTTTTAAAGAAATTGGTAATTATCATTGTTGAGAATATTTCAATGTTACTCTGATAAAATAATATGATTCTATGGCTATATCTTTTTAGTTAAACTTAATCAAAATATCTTTAGATTGTGTAATGATTTTTTATGCTTGATAATATGATGGTTATTTACACTTAGTAAATTAAGTTGCTGTACCATGCTATTTTTTTTTTGTTAGAATGCTTTGTTTTTTAAAATTTTTTGAATGAAATGATTTTTTACTATTTTTTTTTTTGCTCTAGCAAATAAAGTAAAAGCACTTTTCTGTGTGAAATATGTTTTAAGTTTGCTTCGATGAGATATATAATGCTTTTTTAAAAAAAATAGTAATCATGCGAGCAAATAAATAGCAATTCTCTTTGATAACAGAGTAATACAAAAATGTTTGAATACATTCAGGGTGTGTTTCAAATCTTTTCATGGTTTGGTCGGTTATTACCAATACATCAACACATTTTGCTTTACATAATAAAGAAACATTGCAAGTTTTTTTCCACACATTTTCAATGTGTGAAACTTTAATATAGCAGAAGACTTCAAGTCTTACGTCAGTTTGCAGTTAATGGTGTAGTTAATCCTTGATATGATGCTATTATGTTTAATGCCAATTACAGGAAGATTATGCGTTTTTCCTTATTTAACAAGATAGGAGACACCATCCATTATCTGACAAATTACCATGATTTCCTAAATACCGAGTTCCCATGTTGCTGGATTGAATGTTGGACAGGCAACAACTATCATCTTCTTCCATGACTACCGCGCTCTTCACGCATGACTCTCTATGATTTTTGTGGGGGGGGGACTAAGATTTTGTGATTCGTTCCTTTATGCCACTTGATTTGACAGAACAATGACAAAGGATCAGAACCACAGTCACTCTCTCTGATCGTGACATGTTATAGCAAGTGTAGCAAGAATTTTAAATCAGCCATATCACCAAAGTTTCACTTATTAAAATTTTTAATGTTTTTTTTTATCAGGTAAAGTAAAATGTGTTGATATATTGGTAATATTTTGTTTGTTTTAAACCTTACAATTCCCGGAGGGAATTATGACACAACTTGCATAAATGTTTATATCTGGAGAAAGCTGGGTTTTATACTGCTTAAAAGTTAAAAGGAAAAAAAGCCTTGACAAATGCTTAGAGAGCTTGATGAAAAAAAGTAATGATATTTATATGCTTTAAATTTATAAAAACTTTATACTTTGTAGATTAAGAAAACTTGATTCCTTACAGCTACACTTATAACTTCTATCTGCGTAGCTTTTTAATTATGTTATTATTTAAAGAAAATAAAAAAAATGCTGAGTTTAAACCAACTTTTAAATTACTGCTGATTAATATATATATATTTTTTTTACTTTTAGTTAATTAAGAAATGAAATAAAAGTTTTATACCTTAGTGCATCAAAATTGACATAATATCAAACAGATTTTTCCAGACTCATTTTAACTTCCATAGTTTTATTGTTGCTATAGTTTTGGGGAAAATATTTCCTCCTATCTGCTTATTTTTTGGAGAACAAAATATCTTTGAAAGAAAAACTAGTTTATGTCTATATTAAAATCTATCTAGTGTTAGTATCTATCTTTAGATAAATTTGTTACTATTTATTTTTGTTAATAAAATTTTTTTATTGAAAGGCAAGGAAAAATGTATTAAAAATTTTGTAGATTATTAAAAACTACTGATTTTTACAGAATTCACTCTAGTTTTTGCTCTATTTCTAACATCACTACTTAGTTATTCACAAACTGTGAAAATTAACTTCTTGATAGGAGGCAAAAGTAGGAAATTTTGTTACTTGTCAGTGGTTCGTTGTAGCATTTGTAAAAAGCCACTTTAAAAATATGTAACAACGTTTTCAAAATTTTGTAGATTTATGCAATTAAAATAAATTAGTATTATAATTTAGTAATTTAGTATTCAAAATATGATAAACATTGCAAAAATTGCAAAAAACAAATTTTAAATAAAACAACTTTCAGAATGTCATAAAATGTTCATAATGATTCCCTATGAATTTTTAAAAAAATTTATAAAATGCTCATTAGGTGCACTTTTGATGAAAAAAGTGATCGGAGGGCAACTAGCAGACAATTTTTCAATCACTGCTTGTTAGTCTTAGTTGCCCTCCTACTAAAAGTAACTATTAATTGTGTTCTATACTTCTTAGTCTGCAAGGTGTGGTACTTTATCGAAATGTTTTTTTTTCTTTCGTGTACTTTAAATTTTTATATAGTTTTAGTATGTTTTCTTGATTATTAATTGAAAATGTAAGGTATTTTTCTTCTTTCTGAATTTTAATTTGTAAAAATTTTACATCAAAAAACCATAATTGCTAAATTCTACCGTAACAAAGCAAATTTTTTTTCTTTAAACCTGTGATTTTTATCCTTTTTTTTAAACTTATATGTAAAATAAGGGGTCAATGTAAATTCAAGATATTTACAATTATACTATTTTGAAATTGCTTTAAACAACACAAATTCAGAAATTGGGCCCTTAAATTCTCAGTTAAGAGTTTTAATGCTATTGGCCACATATTTGTGTTTGCTGTAATCATCTTTTATGTGTTTGCTGTAATCATCTTTAGTTATTCTAAGCTTTTTACCATCTGTAGAATAAATTTAAAAGAATTACATACAATTTTGCTTGAGTACAGGTTGCATAAAAATGAAATAAAGAAATCACATTTAATAAAAACTCATTTTTTTCACATTTAGTATATCTTTCTTTTTTCTTAAAATCTTTTAGTTGTCTGTCTAAACTGTATCTTAAATTATAAAATTAATTTAGACAAAAAGAATCAAGTTTGGCTTTTTGAAAATTACTATTTAATTTAACATCCTGATTTTGATGTCAACATCCTTATTTAAAATCTTTAAAAAAAACTAAGAATTAGCCTTATAAAGGCCATAATTTAAAAATAATAACCTGATTTGTTTACAGTGTAAAAAAAAATATTAAAAAATACTCTAACCCTGGAATTGAAGCCTATGCCACAAATATGCTACATGTGTGTGTTAGGGTGATTTGATATCTTTTTATTCTCTTGTTTTTCTCATATTCCCTCAGTCTTTTCACTTGATGAAATGGGCACCAACATGACTCCTTTTCAATTCTAAGATTTAATTCAATTGAGACTAAGCTTCAGTGATCAGTTTTGAGGGAATAACAGGATATTTTATATGAATTTCTCATTGTTGGAGTGTGCGTAGCTACACTCCCATTCGAAACCAAACATCAGTGGTAGCGCTGAGTTTTTTGGAGATTGGTGGAGTATTTTATAAAATTTCCCAATAAAATGGACTTATCAGATTTTATTTTCCTATCATGATGTTTGTTCTCTTTTCTTTCTTCCTTTCTTTTTTTTATTTTTACTATTTACATCATTTTTTTTGATTCACATAGTGATGTTAAGAAAATAAAAGTAATAAAACAAAGAAAAAAACTTACACGTTTGCATAACTTCACACTGTTAATGCAGATCAAACACAAATTCGATTTTGTATTCGAATAATTTTAAGGTTTTATTGTTAGCAATAATGTGTCAAATATTGAGAATCTAATTCTATATAAAAGATGTAAGAGCGGTGCCTTCATAAAATATTAAGATCAGCTTATTTTCATTTCTTTTTTTAAAGTAGAAAACAAAGAATTGTAAGATCATCTTATTTTCATGTCTTTTTTTAAAGGAGAAAACAAAGAATTGTAATGGATTTGGATGAAAAATTTTAAGTAATTTATAAAAGTTTTATTTGAAAGGAAAGTTACTTTTAGGAAATTTCTTCTATGAGTTTTAAAGTTAAGGATATTTAGCCACAAAAGATATGCAGAAAAGATTCCTAATGAATATTCTATAAAAAATATTAAATGTATTAAAGCTTTTGTTTTGTGCAAAGTTGAAGCTTTTATTTGAATTTAATCCTAAAATTAGATTACTGCACTTGATGTTAAAGCAAAAAGGATGTTACGACTTTCTTTGAAGTAGGTGCGGGGGGTGGACCGAAATTGCCAAAAATGTACTTTCGAAATATTTCAGCAGCCCCTTAGATTTGAATTACTATAACTTGTGTAGAGATTTCATAGTCTATAATCTTTATAACTATTAAAATAGGTACATATTTTCTAATTTTATCCCAATAATTTTGTAATTATATTTGAATTTTTCTAAAAATTTAATTTTACTAAATACTTTTAAAGTTATAACAAAAAAACATATGACAAAAAAATTAGTTTTCTTATAAAAATGTTCTCATCTCCATAAAATTTTAAGCTAGATTTACAAAATTTTATACAGTTATTGCAAATAAAAACTAAAGTAATTGATACAAGTACAAACTTCTTGCTTGTTTTTTGGCATAGGGTGCTCAAGAGTGCTTGTTTTCTTTTGTAATTTATTGTCCGTCTCTCCAATCTCTGACAGCTTTAAACTTCATTGCTAAGTTTGAAAAATTACTTGAACTCCTAAAATAGCTTGAAACACTTCTTAAGTTACAAAATAGTCCTTTAAGTATTTCTTGAGAAATTTAAAAATACATGCAAAACTGAAAGTGTCTCTACCTTTATTGTAATATAGTGTAATANATATATATACACATGTACATACATATCCTGTTTGATGCATCAGTTTTTCTTGTGCGTTTATTTTTTTACACACACGTTAATTCTTCTAGCATGCCTAACGGTTTAATCTTTGTTTTTAGCCAATAGATTACCGAAAGTGATTTCCACCGGTAAACCTACTCATGAAATCCGCCTCACTGAAGATAGTCCAAAGAAGAGGAAATGCTGTTCCAGTTTATGAGTCATTTTCTTTTAAGTCATTCAGTATTTTATGCTTATTGTGAATGATTTATTACTTATACATTATCAGAAATGTTTAAGTCATTTCATAGTCACAATAGATATCAGATGTAATATTTTTATGTTGTGAATTTTTATACTATATATGAGCAATTACAACAATTTTTTGTTTTTGTTGATGTACAAATTTAGATATTTTGGGTGATTTTTCTTTTTTGATATACAGATGTATTTTGTTACAAGAGAATATATGATTAGTATTGATTTTTTTATATGTTTATATTAATTAAATTATAGATATTTTTTTCTATGTGCAGTGTTTCTTTTCATCTGTTAGAACTCACTATTACTTTTCATCTATTAGAACTACTTCAGCAGGGTAATTATTTTGTGTAGAGTAGACAACCTGCGACCCACCGACTACTGAAGTGTGGCCCGCAAAATCTTCTTAACACAATAAAAAAATGTCTGAAAATTTTAATCACACTTTTGAGTCATCACGTTTCAACACGCTCAATTTTTTACAGATTCTATAGTAAATGTATGTTTAACCCGCTTTCTTAAAGCCGATTTTAGCGTAAATATAACTGATTATTTTAAGTAGTTATTTGCGCTTAACGTGAATTCTAAAATCCCAAATTTTTATTATGATATTATTATGATAAGCCAGTTTCAGATCATCCATTTAAATAATAATTTTTTGGCGCACTTTATTTGTGCCGATTTCGTCGTAAATCTAGGTGATTTTTTTCTTTTATTTATTTTATTTTTTTGATATTATTTCTTTCTTTTTTTGAACCATTTTTTTAGCAGTTATTGGCATGCATTTCCATGTGGTATAAAAATTTCCGATAATTTCATTAGGACATGCGAATTTTAAATTGCACTTATGACACGCTTTATTCGTGCTGAGTTCAGCATGTGTACAGCATTTAAGAGATTTTTTTTAAAACTATTGCTATACTTTTCCTCGTGATTTTTACAATCACGTTATTTAACTACGATATTATTAGGACACGCGAATTTCTAATCTCGCATTTAAATAGTCACTTTTTGATACACTATTTCGATACCATTTTATAGTAAATCCTAGTTATTCTTCCTTCGTTTTTTTTTTTTGGCAACGAATGTGATTTGGTCGAATACCGAATGTTCGGCTAAAAAAATCGGTTGAATACCGTAAATTCGGGGCCAAACAGCAACAATTTTTAGCAGCATAGCAACACTGAAACCCAAATTTCAATGTGAGGAGTAATATTTTCTGGAAAAACGTATTCATAAAAAACGCTAAAATATAAGGACTTTCAGATATGCTTTTGAAAATGCAGCGCTTTCATAAAAACTTAAGATTATATACAAACGCAAAACAGATCAATCTTAATTTTCAAAAGAAAGTTTTAAAGTAATTTTATTGCTACCTGAAGTGGCAGAAAACGTGAATTTTTAAACTGCTCACTGTTTGTGATTTTGATTGCAATTTTTTTGTTGCTTAAGTGATCTTTTTTCGGTAAAAAAAAAAAAATTTTACTATATAAAAAAAATCTAATAATCAATTAAAAGAAATAATATAGTACATTACCAAATAAGTATTAAATTTTTTTTAAAACTATAACAGTTTTGTTTTCATTTTAGGCTTTTGTTTAAACCTTATAAATTTTCTTCAATTGAAATATTTCGTTTGAATTTATGTTACTTATGTACTAAATTTTGTCCTACTTTCCTTCTGTGAGCATTGCAGTTTTTTTTTTTTCATTCGAATTTACTTTTAAAATAATTTTTTGTGTATTGCTTCATATGATAAAAAAAGCATTACTTTTCTCCAATGTTTATTTATTTTGATAAATCTATTTTTGATATGATAAAGAAGGAATTTTTTTTATTTTTAAAAAGTATTAGTTTTTGAATGAATTCGAATGATTGAACGCTTTTAATTTTCTACAAATATATTACTAGTTTATTGATGAAAAAAATTCGAATGCTAATGTTTAAGTAAATATTACAACATTTGCCGTCCACATTCCTAAATACATGTGCACCCCTGTTGTTGTTTCTAATGCCACTTGCCACATTAGCAAGCCTGCTTGGTGAAACCGAGCAATTTTAAGGCAGAGGGTGCGTTTCTTGTTTTACAGTGGCGCCATCTACGGTCAAGAATTCGTCTTCAGCCCCACACACGTCATACCCGTTTATAGGGCGGACCCATTCATTCATCCACAGATGGTAATTTTTGACCTGGATCAGAGAACGATTGATCTCCAATCCAGTTCCCCCAGAAGTATTGATTTGTTATGGGAACGTGGAGGACTTTGCGACTCGACAGATAGTCAACCTGCTGTGGAAGTGTTTCTTCACTCAAAAAGGTTGTGCAGCCCCAGTGTAGAGTATTCGCTTTCATTTTATAATCAAAAAGACTAGAATAATCCTTTCATTTCTGCTCTCTTTTTCTTGTACAGTTGTTTTTACATAAACGTTGAATTTGTTCCAGTACATCCTATATGTCATTCTTTTAGGTCAAATGTAAAGTTACATTTTGTCCTTTGAAATAGAAAGTAATCCTATACAGCAGTGTTTCCTAAACTTATGACTTTTGTGTACCCTTTCTAAATTATTTGTAACGCTGTGTACCCCTAATAAAAAATAAATGTATTTTTTACTATAAAAACATTCACCAAAGTTAAACATCACAACTGGCTGGTGACACCACTAATTATTAACTGTTAACTTTGAAAAAATAGCCAATAGAAAAATACTTAATCGTAAATTTTCATGGCTAGCTTTGCTTTTAAATAAAAAAAATTTGAAATTTTCGTTTGTTGCAAGTTATTTTGCCTTAGAACATGTACTTTGGGAAACACTGCAGGATCTAATGCTAATGTATCTTCCAACACTCCACTTACACCCGTATTCACCACGCCGAGTTAAATTCAAGAGTAACTCGGGGATCGGAATATCCACGGTCGTCGTCGTCGTAGCAAATTTGTCGAGGCGTTTAGGCCCCGAAGGGGCCTTTTACCTCTCCATATGAAGTTGGAAATCATGATGTAGTTGCATCGGAGTGGGCCTAGAAGAGAGTTACTTTAGGATTAACCCTCGCTTTTTATTCTTCAACCGTTTTCAACAGAGGATTTCACAACTCGAGTTTAACTCTTGCAGGAAATATAACGAGGCCTTTGATTGGGCAAGGTAAAACCATGTGACTTTGTATATAATATAAACACGTGCATAAACAAATTAGCGTGAGTATCGCTAATTTAAGTGAAGAGGTTTTAAGAAACGATATCTTTCAAAAAAGTCTATTTCATCTAACTCTTCTTAGGTCATTATTTCTGATAGTTGGGACATATCTTTCCCTTCTTTCAACAGTTTCAAGCTCAAACGCAGCGATAGAATCCTCCATCTTTTTTGTTTACAAGCACCTCGTCAATAGGTTACCCTCCGATAACACGGCAAAAACGGAGGGTTACCCGGAGAGTCAGAACTGTTGATGAAATCTGCGAGCTTGGCGAAATTTCGGCTGGAGAATAACGTTTCGCACTTAACTCGTGATTTTACTCTTACTCATAGATTACCCGGAGGTAATCTGTGTTGGTGAATACGGATAAGAGATAACGGACGAGTAGATACCTTTTTATTTCTTAAGGAGACATCAGCCTTCATGCTCAAATATTTTTTTCTATAAATTTTGTTTAATCTTAGATACTTAATTTAAATTCCTTTATATTAATTATTTAAAATCGATTAAAGTTGTTTATTGAATTCTGGTTACACAAATGAATGATTCTTTTTTAGGTGATTAAAGTACAGTTCTAGTTTCCTTTCTTTAGATATTTCTCATTAGGATTTGATTTTTATCATACTTTGTATGTAGGGTTCATATTTCACTTCGGATTTTTATAATATTTTATGTTTTTATTATATTTGGGAGAATATGATTGGATATTGGTTACATTAAATTTCATATTGAAATTAGATTTTGCATGCCTTGAACTAACCAGATGATTTATTTTTTATTCATAATTTTGGGCAAACTTTTGCTGGTAACAAAATTAGATGTTAATTATTGAATACTTTGAATTTATAATTTTTGAAAGGTTTCTTTTTGCTTAAAAGAATCATTGGGCGTGTGTTAACGTAATATCTTATAATTAGTGGATTTTGAATCCTTATTTTGACTGATAAAATAATGGGCATGAGTTAGTTAATAATTGTCTTGACTTTTTTTCTTCTTTTGAATAAATAAAGGGAATCGAAATATTTGATAACTAATATTCTTGAATAATTAATATTTTTAAAACACGTTCTATATTAAATTATTATGATTTGAAAGTTCATTCATAGGTGTTGCCATATTTTATTTTTATTATAAGATTAAATTTTGTTTACTAAACCAGAATCTTCATGATCCATGGATTTAAGTGGTAAATTAGTAAAACATTTCGTTATTCCATTCTCTCATCCTTATGATTAATAGATTGTTTTATATCCTTTAGTTCGTTTTTGTATTTTACTTATGAAGAATCATTATTAGTTTATTATGTTAGCTTAGCACAGTTGATGAGTTGACTCATTATGAAAGATACACTGGGTTCCTGCAAAAAAAAAATTACGGCTAAGTTTATATTTTGTTTCATTTATATTTTGATCAGGTGAATTAATGTAAATATTTTTAATTTTCATACTTTTTGATTAATTAATCTGATGACTATTTTTAACATTTATAAATTAATTTCTAGTTTCAATGAGTTTAATTATTGAAAATGGTGCATATAGAAATATGCACCATTTTCAATAATTAAACTCATTGTAAAATAATTAACTCCTTGTAACAGCAGGTAACTACAGATTTTTTTTTATTTTGTTACTTTTTTTCCCCTGCAGAAATTTTAAAGCAATAACACAGATAAAGTAATTTAGGGAGTTTAAAAATGTTATGAGTCTAATGGGTATCTATTAGGTTTGAAATTTGAACCTTTGTTCAAAAACAGAATACCTGGTTGTGAGAAACCTTGAGATATTTTTGATTTAGTAAGGGAGGATGATGCATGGCAAACGAGATTTAACCAGGAAATTCAAAAGAGAATAGTACAGCATATGACAAACTATATTAAACCAGCGCCTTAAACCGTTCGCCTTAAAGCCCGACACATGCCTATTTCCTCTCTTTATTCAATTTTCAGTGTATGAAAGAACGACTTCAAATCAGATCTGTCCCGCAGTGGACTGATCGTTAGGACACGGTTCCAAGAAGATCACTGAAGTCAAGCATCACTGGCTGCGGACAGTGTGCGGGTGGGAAACCACTTGGATCAG